GGCGGTGCCACCCATGCAGCAGCTCCCCTCGGGCCTCGCCGACCGCCCCCCGCTACCCTTACGTTCCCCTCGCCCTCGGCTATGGTAACTGCGACCTCCTCTGTAAACATGGTAAACGTAATGCTGCCGTTATGTCCGATTAAAAAGTCCTGTTCTTGTTTGTTTTCTTTGTTTTTGTTTTTTTTCGTTTGTTTTAGGTGGAATGTTAATGTTTTTTTTTTTTTTTTTTTTTTATTCTAGTGTCCTTTGTCTAGTTTTGTTTTTTTGTTTGTTTGTTCTCATTTTTTCTGTAGAAGGAATGTTATTTTTTTTTTGTAGTTATGTGTTTTTGAAGAGTCTTGTTTTTTGTTTGTTTGTTTGTTTTCCTAATATTAAAAGGTCTTGGTAATGGTTGTTTTTTTGTTTTGTAATATGTAATGTTTTTGTAATATGATTAAATATGCTTCCTTTGTCTTGATCTGTAAGTGCTATGCTGTTTTTTTTTGTCTTCTGTTTTTGTCTGGCTCTGTTTTTGTTCACTTATGATAATCGTTAGCCTTCATTTGTCGTATATTTTTAAGGACCAGTTCTGTCATGCCAAGTTCTTTGATCAATTTTCCTTTGTCCCGTTCTCACATTCCGTTTGTTTTATGTTCTCTTATATAATGTATACATAATGCTGTTCTATATAGGATTTACGTTCCTTTGTCCTGCGGTTGAATTATAATGTTCTGTTGCATAATGTTTCTTATGTTTTTTTTGATGTCATGTTTTATGATTTTGTGTTGGTCGTGGCAGTCATTAAGCGACCTTCGTCAGTCTCTTAAAAGTACTGGTTAGCTGCGTTTGTTTTTTTGTTTTTGTTTTTGTTTAGTTTGTGTTGTTTGTTCTTGTTTTTTGTTTTGTTTGATGTCGTTTGTTTTGTTTGTATTTATTTTGTTCTCGTTTGCTCTTTGTTTTTTTTTTGTTAATTATTGTTCTCATTGTTGCTTTTGTTATCTATGGTAAGCTGTTTTTCCTATTTGTTTCTCGTTTTGTTTTTGTCTGTTCTGCCCTTTGATTTCCTTGTTCTTTTTCATTTTGTGTTTTTTTCCTAGTTTTGTCTTTATTTATTAATTTATTTGGCTTCACCTTTTGCCCTCTTCCGTTTATTTTCCATTTTTTTTTTCTCGTTTTGCCTGTTCCGTCTTTTCTCCCTTGTTTGTTTGCTTTCCTCGTTCTCCTTATCTCGCGTCGTGGCTCATTTAATTCATTTATCTCGTTGCCTTGTCCTCGTGTTCAAACCCCCCCCCCCCCACACACACACACACTCCATCTTGCTTGTGTCATGCATGATGTGCGTTGCATGATTTGTTTTGCTTTGTTAAATGTGTGAAGGTGGGCGGGGGGGTGCGCTCGTGTGATAAGTGCTTGCTTGTTCATTCAGTGCATGTGGGATTGTTCGTAATAAAGGTGCGTCTATAAGGGCAATGCACTTGCTTTCGCTGACGCAGGTGAACGGGATATTTATACGAGTTTTTTTTTAGGGGGTGATAGAGTATGAGGTCGAAAAGGGGATACACACACATAGAGGGAGTGAGAGTGAGAGTGTGAGTGTGAGTGTGAGAGAGAGTGAGAGAGTGTGTGTGAAAGTGAGAGTGAGAGAGAGAAAGAAAGAAAGAGAAAGAGAGAGAGAGATAGAGATAGATAGATAGATAGATAGATAGAGAGAGAGAGAGAGCGAGAGAGAGAGCGAGAGCGAGAGAGCGAGAGAGAGAGAAAGAGATTGAGAAATAGTGGGGAGTGAGGGGTAGGTAGAAATAAGAATGAAAGCAAGAGAAAGATAGGATGTCGATTTTTGGAAGTTAGGAAAAGGGGCAAATCCTACGTGTCCGAAGAGCTGCATTGGCTGATGACAAATTGTCAGTTTAACATTTACTATTAGGGATGACTCTAGGCCAATTTAGCATTATAGCATCTGGAGTTAATGTAGTTTCATGGGGCACTATGAAGTGGTCATTAATTTTAGCAAAGGAGTAGTGTTAGTCTTCTAAATAAATGAAAAAAAAGTAATGAAAAGGAATGATAATAATAATAATGATAATAAAAAAATAAATAATGGTTATAATGATAATAGTAAAAAAAAATGCTTATGGGAAAAGAAATAAGGAAGGCGACATTATGAGACATTTTCAAGCAATAATCTTTTATGTCAGTAAACCGTGTACTTTTTTTTTTTTTTTTTTTTTTTTTTTTAATGGACGCCGTGTCGCTTTTTTTCCGTTGTGGGTTGCGTGTCATTCGGGGCGATGTGTCAGTTTATCCCCAAGTAAAGAAATTTTATTAAAGAAAAAGTAAAAGTAAGTAAAATAAGTAAATAAGTAAGAAGAGTAAACGAAATAAGTAACAAGAATAAATGAAATAAGTAACAAGAGTAAACGAAATAAGTCACTAGAGTAAACGAAATAAGTAAATATATTAATAAATACGCTGATTGCACCCTGGTCTCGTCGGGCTCCTGTATATTCCAAGCTTCTGCATA